GTTTAGTGGATAGTTTATATTGTACATGACATGGACATCTATGATGTTTAGTGGATAGTTTCTATTGTACATCACACAGACATCTATGATGTTTAGTGGATAGTTTATATTGTACATGACATGGACATCTATGATGTTTAGTGGATAGTTTCTATTGTACATCACACAGACATCTATGGTGTTTAGTGCATAGTTTCTATTGTACATCACACAGACATCTATGATGTTTAGTGGATAGTTTATATTGTACATCACACAGACATCTATGATGTTTAGTGGATAGTTTCTATTGTACATCACACAGACATCTATGATGTTTAGTGGATAGTTTCTATTGTACAGCACACAGACATCTATGATGTTTAGTGGATAGTTTATATTGTACATGACATGGACATCTATGATGTTTAGTGGATAGTTTCTATTGTACATCACACAGACATCTATGATGTTTAGTGCATAGTTTCTATTGTACATCACACAGACATCTATGATGTTTAGTGGATATGATGTTATAGTTGATACATCACACAGACATCTATGATGTTTAGTGGATAGTTTCTATTGTACATCACACAGACATCTATTATGTTTAGTGGATAGTTTCTATTGTACATCACACAGACATCTATTATGTTTAGTGGATAGTTTCTATTGTACATCACACAGACATCTATGATGTTTAGTGGATAGTTTCTATTGTACAGCACACAGACATCTATGATGTTTAGTGGATAGTTTCTATTGTACATCACACAGACATCTATGATGTTTAGTGCATAGTTTCTATTGTCACACAGACACATGTTTAGTGCATAGTTTCTATTGTACAGCACACAGACATCTATGATGTTTAGTGGATAGTTTCTATTGTACATCACACAGACATCTATGATGTTTAGTGCATAGTTTCTATTGTACATCACACAGACATCTATGATGTTTAGTGCATAGTTTCTATTGTACAGCACACAGACATCTATGATGTTTTTAGTGGATATGTTTGGATATTGTACATCACACAGACATCTATGATGTTTAGTGGATAGTTTCTATTGTACATCACACAGACATCTATGATGTTTAGTGGATAGTTTCTATATTGGATACATCACACACAGACATCTATGATGTTTAGTGGATAGTTTCTATTGTACATCACACAGACATCTATGATGTTTAGTGTTTGATGTGGATAGTTTCTATTGTTCACACAGACATCTATGATGTTTAGTGGATAGTTTCTATTGTACATCACACAGACATCTATGATGTTTAGTGGATAGTTTCTATTGTACATCACACAGACATCTATGATGTTTAGTGCATAGTTTCTATTGTACATCACACAGACATCTATGATGTTTAGTGCATAGTTTCTATTGTACATCACACAGACATCTATGATGTTTAGTGGATAGTTTCTATTGTACAGCACACAGACATCTATTTCACACAGACATCTATGATGTTTACATACATTGTACATCTATGATTAGTGGATAGTTTTAGTCACACAGACATCTATAATGTTTATATTGTACAGCACACAGACATCTATGATGTTTAGTGCATAGTTTCTATTGTACAGCACACAGACATCTATGATGTTTAGTGCATAGTTTCTATTGTACATCACACAGACATCTATGATGTTTAGTGGATAGTTTCTATTGTACAGCACACAGACATCTATGATGTTTAGTGCACAGACATCTATGATGTTTAGTGGATAGTTTCTATTGTAAAGCACACAGACATCTATTATGTTTAGTGCATAGTTTCTATTGTACATGACATGGACATGGACATCTATGATGTTTAGTGCATAGTTTCTGTTGTACATCACAATGACATCTATGATGTTTAGTGCATAGTTTCTATTGTACATCACAAGGACATCTATGATGTTTAGTGCATAGTGTCTGGTACATCACACTGCTCTAATGATTAGTACAGAATTACTATAGTTCATAACACTGATATCTATGATGTTTAGTGCAGCGTTTCTAGTACATCATATTGCTATGATGTTTAGTGCAGCGTTTCTAGTACATCATACTGCTATGATGTTTAGTGCAGCGTTTCTAGTACATCATATTGTTATGATGTTTAGTGCAGCGTTTCTAGTACATCATATTGCTATAATGTTAAGTGCAGTGTTTCTAGTACATCATACTGCTATGTTTAGTGCAGCGTTTCTAGTACATCATATTGCTATGATGTTTAGTGCAGCGTTTTTAGTACATCATATTGCTATGATGTTTAGTGCAGAGTTTTTTAGTATATCGTGCAGTTATTATGCTTAGTGCAGAATGTCGTATATCATACAGCTCAGATGTTTTGGGTGCAGAATGTCGATTACATCATTCAGCTCTGATTATTGTTTCTGTTACATATTTACAATTTCAAACCATTTGACTTTCATTATATTAATCTATGCTTAGTCTCATTACTAATGGCCTGGATCCAGTTGTATCATTGCTTCATTAACTAATGTCAACATTAAACCCTAATCATACATTAAATCCTTAATGCATCATTAGTTAATGGCATCATTAAAAACGGTTTTATCAAACACTTATTAGCGTATCATTATCTAATGACGTCCTAATGTAAATATTTTCATTAAATCCGGGGATTCCCCAAATTTCTTCCCACAATTCCACGCTGTTAACATGTAATAGGGCTAAACCCCTCGGAACAAAAACAAACATTTCGACTGCTGTGAAGAAACACGTCTAAATAATTCTGAAACGTCGCCGATAAACCTAGAATCAGTTGGAATGTTTTGGAAAATACACGAACATGAACGCCGAAGTGAGCTTTCCGTCATATTGGATAGTGTTTACAAAATCAAGTTTCGCTAAGGCCAGTCATAGGACGCCTATTAAATCATGTATATTTCATATTCAGTTGTGACAAATGCATCGCTGAATTCCTCATACATTTTAGAATCAAATTCCAAATGGTCTTTGTCACTAAAACCAAGTGTCTAAGAAAAAACGAAACATATTGGGTGTAAAAACGGGACGTTGTGCTCATTACACAGCGCGCTGGCTAGAAATATAAACAAAGCAAAAATCAGATTTTATAGTGTGCAGCATTTTCTCAATTTTTTTAGACATCATGTCGTCTATTCGTAGCATGCATGAGCTCAATATTTTTAGAATATGCACGGAAAGAGTATCGTAGCAAGAACTAGAAAACTTAAAACAGATACAATACTGAAATTTGATATACATATTCATACGAAAGTTCTGTGAAGCGTGACGCCATGCGAGACACAAAATCATGGAGAACGACATAGGCAATTATCGGCATTTCTGACTTTTTCAATGAAAACAATAAAAACAAACAACCATACGCAGATAGTCAGAATATTTCCGATTACTTACATCATACATTTATGGACAAAGGTTCCCCTGCAAAATCATGGGCACCCATATCCACGAAGCCGCCATTTCATGAGAAATCGGTCATCGTTAGTGATGTCATACATCAACATTGTTGGACATATGTGGCAATTTCTTTGAGGTGAAGGTCGGTTGAATAAGAGTTAACACAATCACACTGACCTGCGAATTACACTTGTATTATTAATGAATACTTTGTGTATCGTTCACATATGGTTTCATGAAACTAATTTCATTATCAACATTTAGTATTTTAAACCTAAGTAAAACTGACATAATAAATAAAAATGATTTATTGATTTCATGAAATGTATATATGCACATGTTTGTAAAGGAGTTGTGTTATAGACAAGACAATGGCGTATACTCATTGGCCAGGTGCGCGTTTGTCACAAATGTTTTGAGTATGATTGTTTTCGATAATTCCGTGAACAAAGCATCACGAAAATATTGTGTCCTTATTTACAGCAAATTCTCGCCAAGTGATCTGAGTTACAATGACTTAGTATTAAGCATACCGGAGTGAGGCCCCCATATCTTTATAAGCGTGTGACCTTTATGTAGCCATTTGACGTCATAGGGGGAAATCCATTTTCAACACATATTGCGAGTCACTTTTAAGATTGAGTGTATAACGTTATACATAAGCACACAAACTAATTTAATACATACCTATGTCATTCAGGTATCAGGCAGAATTTTGTTCACTCACACTTTCTGTAAAGATGCCAAATTAAAACTATAGTAGCACAGTACTTTTATCAGTGCACGATAAAAAGCAGAGAAATTTACTGTTTTTAACGCATAACAAAATGTATGTAGATCCAGTGCGGCGCAAACGAAATTCTGGCGCACTGTTCACTTTTCCAGGAAGTTTAATGAAGCTCTAATGATACCCCAGGACCTTCATTAAGTTAATGACGCACTAATGACAACAGAGCATCATTAAAACGTTAATACAACAGAATTTAATGATACATTAGTTAATGAACGTTTAATGGCACGTTAATGCTTCATTAAAGTTTGATACAACCGGGTCCAGATGTGGTTAGACTGTCCTTATTAGGACTGGTGACTGTCAGCATGTCACATCAGACCTGTTGATCTATCATATATATTGATTCCTACTTTCCAGTTATACACAGTTATCTCAGCTTACAGTTAGAATACAGCATATTCTCTTTCCACTATGTCACGCATATTTTTGTGCAGTCAAAAACTTCATTGCATTTGCTTATTATTTTAAAATGCCATACACATTTGCAGGGACAGTTGCATATAGATAAGGTAGTTCTGTGATTCAAAGTATTCATGACAATATAATTTTGAACATCTGCAATGGCAGGTTTACATAATTTCATGCTGTTTGGGTATGATTGAAGATAAAATTAGGTATTGATGTTAGGGACTTCATTCTATTCCATGCTATCTCTGAATAATGATGTCTCACATGCTTCCAATACAAATATCTGTCATCAGATTTGTTTTAGATCTTTAGATGTTGTTAATGCGTTATCAACTATTCCACAAAATCAACCTCATCAGGTATCTCCATTACAAAGTATGATCTTCTCATTGTTACAGGTTATGAACAGTTTTGAGGAACAAGTGGAAACATCAAAGAGCTGTTAACAAAGGCCACTTGTTTACAAGGTTCTTATGATGGCAAGGAATACAAAACAAAATCCTGTGATTGTTGTCACTGCAAAATGAAAGATATGCCGACCAATGGAGAGACGTCAGTGGGCATTGACAACCAGCGCTCCAGTGTGGAGTCAGGGGTGGAGATCACTGCCAGCTCATCTCAGGGTGGGGATGAGGTGCAAGAGAAGCGACCCACCCCATATGAAAGACTGTCTCATGATCTCAGCAATGACAACAAGTGTATGAAAGAAATCACCCTTGGGAAGAGGATAGGATTTTATAGAATACGAGGAGAACTTGGAACTGGAAACTTTTCCCAAGTCAAAATGGGGATCCATGCCTTAACTAAAGGTGAGTAGACCATGCTATTGTGGTTGCAGGTGGACTTGAACAAACCCGATTTTCATGTTAACAGTCAGTGATTTGTCCTTCTCGTAATTATGTAGAAATATAGGATGATTTCAGACAAGCAAGACGTGACACTAAATCATTCTTTGAAATGTGTTGTAGTAAAGATGATGACATAGTATTTTTGAGAACAATACTTCTTGAGATATTGACTAAGCCAAGGTAATTTGTAAACCATAAACATTCCCCCTTGATGTATTTTGCTGTACAATGCATACTGTTATTCTTAATCTGCATGTAGTGCCGCTGACTAGAGGTAGTTGTTCTACCAAGTTGTTTTGTATGACTGATTAATATAAATTGATTTTTTCTTAGTTTCATTCAATTAGATTTACCTTCTTCTTTTTTCTTGATGTGCACTACCTAAAGTAGTTAAAAGACAGAGTTATTGCAAAAGGTAGTAAATATTACTGTTTGATAATCAGTTCAGAATTATTCACCTGAATCAACAACTAGCTTTGTTGTGTGTCATATTGTCAGGATGAAATTTGAGATTAATTTTTGAAACAGACAAGCTTTCTGAACATTGCTGTCATTGTGTACAAATGACATGACCACCATCTTCTTAAATGAGAAGCATTGATTATTCATACTGATGTCATCACTTGATGTCCAGCCAAGTTTCCTTCAAAGATCAGCTTTGGTTTGCAAAGCATTTTGATACTGCCTAATGGTCTGTTGCTCAGTTTTAATGCTCTTGTTAATCATAGATTTTGTATATTGTGCACACAAAACTCTACCCGGAAACCTTTTTGGTGCACTTATCCAAACTTGGTTTCATCTCAGCATGTCAGGATATAATCATTAAATGGCTGTATTAATTTGACTGTATATGTTAGAACCCAGATGGTTGCCATGGAACATATTTACCCAATATAATCACGTGTGTCACAGTTTTCAATCAAGGTCAGTGTATGTATGAGGGGAGGAGATGAAGCCAAACAGCTCATTGGGGAATAGATCAATATGAATAACTGTGCCTGCAGCACACGTGCCACTGACTTTGGCAGTATTTGACACCTGGCGTGATCAATATCAATCACTCATGTACGTACACATTGTCTAACACATTGGGGTCAGAGACATGGCCCATGAATTGACCGCATGCCTCACTGCACCATTGAATATCATAATTATCTCCAACCTGCCAGATTACACATCCAATTATTGAATTTAATGTTACATTTGAATTTATGAATCTTGGGAAACAGTACTAATTACATTTCAATTGGGAATTCAGTATACCATATGTGCCATACTGATGAGCATCCAAACCTCACCTTAGATAAGAATTTTTTATTTTTTTTTTTTCATGTGGTCTTTTTATTGCATAATATTCAAAAGCTGCATTGCACAGAACAGCAAATGGAACTCCTGGACATTTTTAATTATACAATATATGTGTACAAGGGATGGCTGAAACGTTCTGAAGCTAACTATAAAGCATGCCCAGTACATACACCCTCAGTAGTTTACTTGTGATAAGGAAATATTTACCAATGTTTACAGGCTGTATTTGAACTAGGTACACAAGTTGACAGCATATTTCTGCAGGCATCAAAAGTGTATTCTGGGTTGATAAATATGTACAAAACTGGCACTGTCATCCTGTATCCCACTGCAAGGGGTAACTCCAGCAGCAGTGGACATGGTGTCTACTGGAGGGGATGATGTTCTCTCCTTTGCCACTGATTTTGTTGATCAGTTTGTAACAGTAGAGGAATCTTAGGTTCAGCCAAGTCAGCTGGAGACTAAACAGTGGAAGAAGCATTGGAAACATTTTCGCCTTCAAAGAAGAATCCAATGTCTGCTTAAGTTTTCTGAGATTCCAAAGTAATCCTACTGGTTGATTATCCCATGAAGTTCAGATCATTGATGTGCATTTGTTTTCTAGTCTGGCTTGTCATCTGCTTGAGAATATCAGTACTAACCATCATCCAACATTCACTATAGATGTTTAATGTTACCATGGCTGTAATACATAAATGTGGCTTTGAACTCACTGGACTAGGTGAAAAACAATTAGCAACAAACTCAATCGGTGCAGTTCAATACAGTTAGGCACAAAAGTTTTCAGCCATCCCTTGCACATGATGGGGTGGTGGGTCAGCAAGACTCATTGTAGCCACTTGCCTTGGTTTGATTCCCTCTACTGGTATATTTCATGCAATGATTTTCCAAGGTACAAATGGATTTTGGATATTTTCACCATTTTTAGCAACTTTGGATGGGATAGTTTTCTGCATGAATACCAGAAGATCAATCTGTCTAAACCCTGCTAATGAAGTCAGTTGTATACATATACATGTCCCAGAAGATCAATCTGTCTAAACCCTGCTAATGAAGTCAGTTGTATACATATACATGTCCCAGAAGATCAATCTGTCTAAACCCTGCTAATGAAGTCAGTTGTATACATATACATGTCCCCTGCTAATGAAGTCAGTTGTATACATATACAAGATCAATCTGTCTAAACCCTGCTAATGAAGTCAGTTGTATACATATACATGTCCCAGAAGATCAATCTGTCTAAACCCTGCATGTCCCAGAAGATCAATCTGTCTAAACCCTGCTAATGAAGTCAGTTGTATACATATACATGTCCCAGAAGATCAATCTGTCTAAACCCTGCTAATGAAGTCAGTTGTATACATATACATGTCCCAGAAGGTCAATCTGTCTAAACCCTGCTAATGAAGTCAGTTGTATACATATACATGTCCCAGAAGATCAATCTGTCTAAACCCTGCTAATGAAGTCAGTTGTATACATAGTTGTAGTCAGTTGTATACATATACATGTGTCAATCTGTCTAAACCCTGCTAATGAAGTCAGTTGTACATATCATGTCCCAGAAGGTCAATCTGTCTAAACCCTGCTAATGAAGTCAGTTGTATACATATACATGTCCCAGAAGGTCAATCTGTCTAAACCCTGCTAATGAAGTCAGTTGTATACATATACATGTCCCAGAAGGTCAATTTCTGTAAATAAGAATCATGGTAAAGATTATCATGAGTATTTTATATTTCACTGAAGATCTTGAGAATCAAGATTTTTGGGGACGTTTATCTTTTGGAGAAGGTCTATGAATGAAGTGCATGTTCAAGACAAAGTTTCCCACAATTACATTCAGATGTTCAACAGGGACACCTGAAACATTTAGCTGACTAAAGTGAAACACCTGAAATTCTACTTACCCTTCGGAAACATTAATAAGATAAGTGTAAGCAAACTGACTCTGGCCACTGGGCTAGTGCAAGGTTACATTTCTTGTTCAATTGTTAATGTCAACAGTACGCTAACTATCATTCATAAATCTCATTGCTGTGAAAGGTTTTAATGACAATTCAACTTTTGAAACAATAAACATTGATTGTGTTTTCACTTACATACATTGAGGGAAATTCAATATTGTATTTTACAATGAAGATAGTATATACTTTAAACTTGTAAGAAGAAAAAGCTTCGATGAAATTTTTTAATACTCAAATTTCCATGCAGTGTGTATAGAGAGTAGGGGCGGTGGAGTAGCCTAGTGGTTCAAACGTTTGCTCGTCATGCGGAAGGCCTGGGTTCAATTCCCCACATGGTCACAATGTGTGAAGCCAATTTCTGGTGTCCCCCGTGTGATATTGCTGGAATAATGCTAAAAGAGGCGTAAAACCAAATTCACTCACTCACTAAAGAGTGTGCAGTTGTTGAGACCATTGTTAATCAATTCTTCTTCATGGTGTAATTTTTAGATCATAATTGCATTCCACTGATGATCGTCCATGTTTGTGTTGTGATTCTGGTTCTGAAGACAGGGTGTGACAAGTAAATCCCTCCTTTCTAGCAAGTTTGTCACTTTAAAAGCAGAGCAGGAGGAATGTGTCATCTGTGAGACATTGATTACATGGCCAAACAGATCTAATTTGAAAAAGTGTCATTCTACTCATAGGGTGCAAATTTTCTTGTGCTGTAAGAGCTGGTTCAGCTGTGTGTCATTGAACTTCTAACAGTAGTCACTATTATGTTGTTGTATGAAGATCCTTATAGTCTCACACTCTTCACATGTATCAAAGAGTGAAGAACATCCTTTCAATTAATCTGTTAATTTTATGCCACTAATCTGTTTATTCTTTTCAGAAAAAGTTGCCATCAAAATATTGGACAAGACCAAGTTAGATTCTAAGACACAGCGATTGTTGTCTCGAGAGATTTCCAGTATGGAGAAACTGCACCATCCAAACATTATACGTCTGTACGAGGTTGTGGAGACCCTTGCCAAACTACATATAGTCATGGAGTATGCTTGTGGAGGGGAACTCTTCACTAAACTGTCCAACGAAGGCAAACTGCCTGAAGCTGAAGCCAAATTACTTTTTGCTCAAGTCGTCGCTGCTGTCGAACACATGGTGAGGATTATGAACTGTTTAATAAAGGTGTATTATGATAGATGTAATCTTTCCCATGGAAATAGCAAGTCTGACATTCCTCATATTTTCTTAATTAGAAGCAATATGAATCTTATATTCTATGCATTCTTCTATTTAAAAGAATGCATATTATCATGGTAACATCATCATCCATGTGTAGAAAACAGCAGAAAATCTGCAATAAATAAGTTTTGTCATTGCTTGTATGTCTGAAACATAAGGTTTGTGATATTAATGTATAAAAACAAGCATTAAACAGTCTCCTGAAAGGGAATATGCGCTTGTTGGTTGATATCTTTGAGGATCTGTAGAGTAACTCACCATCTCAAGATACTTGCTGCAGTAAATCAGTAGTGATAAATTGTTCTTCTATATGGTGTCATTATAGCCTAAACACTTGGGTAATCACAGAAGTATTAATGTGTAAGAGATGTGTAGCCCCAAGTTGTTCATACTTTATGATCATGTGTAAAGAATGGGGTCATTCTCTACCTCATACTGTTATCGTGTATCCAAGGTACATTTTGATACAATTCAGTGATTTACAACCCAATGCAAGAATGACGGCATCAGTGCATGTACTCTCAGTAATTTAACAAATATTTGTAAATTCTTCCATAGACAGGAGTTTGATACATTTTGTTAATGCGATGGTATGCATGGCCTGTGAGCAGAATGTGAAAATTGGTTTCATTAGTAGCTCATTATGATGTCCATATTATTTAGGAACATGATGATCGCCAGATAAACTGGTAACTTCATTGACTGATGAAGATGAAAGAGGTTGATGAAGTGAAAACTAAACAGCTTCAGCACTTACACTACATCATCCACTTGTCAGTGTTTAGGTGGAATAGCAGTTAATTTCGTATGAAAGTGTCCCCAGAGCAGGTCAGCCTCGCAGTACTTTCCTGCGGGTTGTCTCCCATTTGTTACACATGCCAGTTGTTATACACTCTGATATTGCCAGTTGTTACACAGTCAGGTCGGGGGGTAATCACTGCTATACCTACAACAATAATGGACTAGCCCAAACGGCTCAGTAGAAGGATTTATAGTAGTAAAGCACCTTAACTGTCAAATGGATCAAAGGGATTAAGAGCAAGCAGTTTTGATTTTTTTTTACTCAAGAAATGTTTGTTTGATTAAAGATGTTTTTGTAGTTAGCATTTAATATGTACATTCAGTTGTTTTTATCTTGAGATGGTTTCTTCTTCTCAAGGCAGGATTAACTATTTAGTTAACTCAGTTATATAGAAAATACACCATTTACTATAAATGGCTGGGGATGACCCTTGTACATTATCCATGGATGGTATACAGTAGAGTATGTCACATCGTAGATCTGGTGCAAGACACGTGGCTGGAATCCATGAACTTAACTCCTGACACCCCTCATTCAGTGGACTTCAATGACTACGTTGCCAACTGGGAGGATGACAACACCAGATTTCCAATGCACCTATGGAACCACCACCAGAACAGAGGACCGCGCACTAACAACAATCTCGAGGGCTTCCACAACAGACTAAACCGGACCTTGCCACACAACCATCCGAACATCTACAGGTTCATCACCGTCATCCGCAAGATTGAGTCTGCAGACCAACCCAAGCCGTCTCAGGTCGACTTCGTTGCAGCTCCTCCTACCAGAAAGCGAGTGTTCAGGGAGTTGGAGAACAGAATCCAGAGACTGAAGACCAGCTTCACCAGGGTACCAGGACCCCACTTGACTTCCTTGATGCCATCGGACATTTGATTAAGCTTGGTTGAGACTCTTGTTATGTGAAATCTATGTGCTGAGTTGAATCAGTTGTTTAGAAATAAATGATAAAAGACATCGAAGAATGATGAACTTCATATACGTGGATTTGCAAACAAATGCATATAAAATGCAATTAAATGATATGTAGTGCTAATCAATTCCTGTGTATGTCCATTAACTAGAAATGAGATAAACAATAGCAGTAGAGGATAATTTTATGGGGCTGGATTAAGTATCAAATACGAAGATGCCAGTATACCTGTGTTTGTTTTCAAGTTCATTTCTTCAAATACATAGTTATGAAAGTTAAAGTTGTAAAACAGATCAACAACATTCTATGGGAGATATTTTGAATGTGCTCCTTGGTCAAGTAACAATCCCAGAGCTAGTTGACTTATTCAAGGTAGAGAGCTGGTATGGGGTCAGTGTTCCTCCAGGCAACATTCTTCATTATCTCCATGGTTACCTTCACCTGAAAAATAAAAACAACATATATATTATTAATGTTGTACATAATCAGAAAGATGTGTCTGTGTCGGATATATTATCTATTTGTAGAAACATTGTTTTTAGAATGTGTTTTATTAAAGTCATGATGTTTATTATGGAATTATTGCTTGTTTTGGTGTCAACAATGATGTAGGTATGAGTGTGTGTGCTGCCCATCCAATCATTCGTAGGAGGAATTCTTGCTGTACAGGTTTTCTTCAATCGTTCCTCGGTTTCTTTTTATTGCCTTTGAACTCATGTTCTAGTAGTCTCCCTCAAAACTTGATTGAATATGAGTTGTAGCTCACTCAAAATGCAAAGTGTCAATGCAGAATATGTGACAGGCCCTATGTTACCGAGACAAACATTCAATCCTTGATAACTTCAAACAATAGCTGCATGTCTACCTGGCAGCACTACCTGCAAATATTATGTTAATCCTGTAGGTGTCAGCCATGCAGCACACTCCCTATGTAATTAGGGCTGATGGTCAATGGTTTGTTTATAGCATTGTCAACAAGATTTCCACCTGTCACTCAATATAATGTAACTACAGCTCAATCATTTAGTATGTAGGTCACCTGATTTACTGATGCGATCAACCAGGTTCAGGAATGTCCCCTGGTACATAACCGTGCAGTATACCATGTTCATTATCTCTAAAATCGAAATGGTTTTATCAACGACAATTGGGGTCCCCACTGATCCTCTTCATCGACGTCCTGTCCTACATTCATAATCAAATTATAGATCAGCTTCTTCAGAAATTGATCGCGTTTCAACTAGTGGGAGTACATTGAGAGACTTCATCAAGTCAAGCATGTATCAGTGGTGGTAATTATATAAATGATTTGACATGTTAATACTGGAGTGACAGGAAATTTGTTAAGATATTACGATAAATATTCAGTCATCCTTCATTTGTGATACTTTGGCATGATCGATCATTTATGAATCATTGATCACATGGCCACCATCAAGCCAGATAGAACCAGACCATAATGACATCATTTTGAGGTATATTAATTATATAAAAAATTCAGTATTGATGTCTGACTAATAACTTTCAAATGCATCAGGTCATATTATTGTCAACAACCTGATAACCTTTATGTTTTGTGTTTAACTCATTGTCAGTTTAGAGAGAGGAATATGCAATCCATGTTGTAAAGGTTTAGTTCAGTATGTTTATTGTTATGTAATAATTTTTTGAAATATATTGTCAAGAAGAACTGTCCCCAAGTTACATCATTTGTTGTGTTGGTCTTGTTTTGACTGTACATTTGATAAGGAAACTGTCCAAACAACCAAATGTGGCCTATCCTTGTATTACCTTAACCTTGAGGAATGCCATGTCAGTGTAAATGTATTAGCAGTATAGTAATTGTTTTAATTGGCATAAAAACATATTCACTCACTCTTTAAACATGGACATGGTATCTGCAACTGAGCATAAGGAAAGAAGGAAGTTTGTCTTCAGCATAATCCGTGTGTAGGTAATCATAGAAGCTTATGCTGCAAACATTGTTTATGGCAAAGATTATGATGCCTGATGTTATCAACCTGACAGGACTGAAGTGCATTTTATGGACTGATAGCTTAATCTAACTCCAAGTCTTAACACCCTTGTTGTGCCCCCTGGTCATGCTAATCATTCAGATTCATGCTCCTGCTAAGTCTGTCCCATAAACTGCAAGAAGGCAGAAGTGTGTCAGTCCCACTAAAGTTGGTAATTGTTGCATATTGATCAAAGAATGTGCCAATCATACCTCTTTGATCCTTGAACAAAGGTTCCAATCTGTCTGGCCACTGTTGGAATATCTGTTTGATCTAAGTGCTTTTACAGTCTCAGTAAGACTTTTCATCTTTAATCATCTCTTGATAAGTCCCAAGGACACATAACAAGTCTGATACTTTCAGACAGGTATTTACTTTTTTTACATCATCCTCCCACGTGTGTTTTAAAGAGCAGTTCAGATAACCGAATATTTTAGGACTGAGATATATTTTAAAATCTATTATTAGATCTTGAGAATTTGATGATCAAAATTAATCAACTGAAATTTCATTAAACTGTAACAGCTACTTAGCAACATGCTATTGATCAGTAATGTGGAGGCAACTGTTTTCTGTTTGTTGTCAGGTGATTAATAGCACTGTGAAATGTACAACATGGCCAGCTGCAGGGATTAAATTGCACAAGGGGGACATGGAAACAAATCTTTCACGAAATGTTTATGGGGAAATGAGATTTAGTTTTGACATTCACCTATGCCTACTTACTTATGCCAGTACTGTTACTAGGGAATAGTTGGATGGTGTAGTTGGACAGAATCTTCACTTCCTTCACATGCAAAGCTGTTTCAAAAGTTTCCTTGACATGCAACCATTCGGTTGTGACGAAATAAGTTTGGAGTAGATTTTGTGATGTAAGAGAGTTAGCAAATATTTAAACATCTTTTTCTCTTAAAATGAAATCTTTGATGGTTAGGCAGACACAAATGTTGCTTTAAAATCTTGTGCAGAGTTTCACTGTGGCAATTGTAAAAGTAAGCATTTAACTGGCTTTGGGGTGATATCTATTATAAAACAAATTATTGTTTAAAGGGGCACTGATCCCTGGGTTCAACCTGCCGGTCTAAACACTTCCACCTAGATCTCATTAGCTGCCATGAAACAATTTGCAATGGACGCAATTGAGCAACATTTGATGACTGAGATTGATTTTTGTACCTCAACATTGAATCATATCTTGTAAAAAGGCCATGTCAAATGACGTATAAAATTAAAACACACATGTGATTTGTTTGATGCTTAGTCAATGAATTTATTCCACTCAGATTGCCTGGCAAAGGTTCCCATTTGGCATTTCTCATGTCGGGGTAATAGCTCAAACTTGTAAATTCAGGTCGGTCTCATGCAGCAAATGTATTATGTAATATGCACATGGAGGTACAGCTAGAGAGAAAAAACATTGATCAAAGATTAACCGATGCTAAGTTGATTAATTGATCACTTTTATCTTGCATAGTGGATTTGTCAAAAGTTAGTGTTTTTTGTATGTAGGTTTACTAATGGAGACAGAATACACCCGTATCCTGTCTTAAAGTGCCTGTGTAAAAACAACATACTTTGCCAAAGGGATTACCGACAATACATTGAGTGACTGCTCATTGTTGACTGTCTAAATGGTATTTTAAAGAACCATGGACATCAGATCATGGAAATTATGAAATCATGAGTAATAATATCCAGAAATGTAATGTAGATTTTACAATAGATTATTAAAAGACACATGGCATGGAACTGTTTCTTTGTCAGCTGTAGATATATGGGATATTGTCCCATTATTTAGTTATTGATGGATACATTTCGCAAACAAAGTAACTGCCTGATATTATTCATAAAAGCTTTTTGGGTTGTAATGTATAATATTTTCATTTTGTTTTCATTCATTTGTTGTGGTATTGAACAGAATCATCCCACTTCATTTACATTATCATTGGGAAGTTCTTCAATGCAAGACAGACAACATTCACTTTTGTTTTCATTCTATCTTAACATTTTTAGTCACTGGAAGATATAATGTAACTTCAAAATGTATGGAATTGTTCTCAAAATAAACTTGATGGACATTCTCTGCAGCCAGTTTGCAAACTAACTCAACTATTAACAGGTCACAAACATTGCGTGATTAATTTCAAAGTGAAACTATATTTCAGCTTTGTCAATCAATGTGAGGATACACCCTTATGCTATGAATCGCATTTTATGGGTGGTGCAGCAGAGGTTGTGAACCATTCCAGAATGTCATCCGGGTATCCACTGGAAAAACCCAACAAAATGTATAACAAAATCAGTGCCCCTTTAAAGCAGAGAATTTTATGGGCATCAACTTCTTTATTGTAAGCAACATGTTTAATAGCTTATGTTTACTCCTTTATCTTGTGAAAGAAGGCAGTTCTCAGTTAATCAGTGCTTATTTCTAATGGATTGCACTAACTAACTGGCATCTCTGTAAACTTATTACTTTTGTTGTTCTTACATGTACATATAGGATCTCCCTGCCTCAGCTTTCATCAACCTGATTAATGACTAAGCAATTACTCTGAAACATTGTGTTCCTCATAACAGAGAAGTTGACATGAATAAATATCCCCCTTATGTGTATCACTTCTGACTGCCATTAAAACACTTTAAATTGTCGTTGGTTGGAACCATTGTCATCAATGATACCTCTTGTCATGAAGTGTTGGAGGCTTCAGCAAGTATTCCACAAAGCTGCCATAACAACTGTATTGGATGTCTATCAGTGGGACATAATAATGGTGGTGATGTAGAATACAAAACAATACCAGGCTCATCAATACATCAGTACACACCTTGTAGAGGATTAAAGTAGATGTTTTGTGTATTGTGTATCTTTGTCAGGACAGGATTGCTGTTTCACTGTCTGGCCACATGATGCTTTCCCACAGGAAGTTATCACTACCTGTTGTCTTTCAGTGAATTAGGAGTGTCATTGTGCATCCTTCAACACAAAGGATCACTATAAGCCTACTATAACAGCACTGATTGTTTTTGAACAATCACTGAATATTATTGATGTATCTCTCAGTAATACCTTGAAGCTAAATGTTCAGCAACAAAAAGGATTGATCTTGGCTAGTGAATGTTCTTGGCATTGTGCTGTAGACAGCAGTATATTTGTGGTAAGATTTACAAGGAGCCAGTTCTGTGGCCATTAGGAATATTTTGAAAGTTTGCAACCTTGATAACATGGCCAGAATTTTCACACAATTCTCAGATGGAAAGGAGTTGTTGTTATTAGAAAATGATAAATAGTTGGAAATAACTGGAAACATGAGTTTTGTTTACAATATCCAGTGTTCACGATTCATATGATTAGTCTCTTTGCACATCAGCCCCAGTTCTTGAGGTCTACAGACTGATGATGAAAGATTTACTTAGTTTTAGGCTGTATTGGCAGTTTTAAACATAACAGTAGTTACTTTGTGTTGTCCAAGTCATTGTTTGCATCACTGGTCTAATGCTGTTTGTTTCTGCATTTCAGCATGACAACAATATTATTCACAGGGATCTGAAGGCTGAAAATGTGTTCTATGCATCTCCAAAGCTAGTCAAAGTGGGAGACTTTGGCTTCAGTACATACAGCAAGCCTGAACAAACTTTGAATACATTCTGTGGTTCACCACCATACGCTGCACCAGAGCTGTTCAAGGATGAGAGTTACTTTGGGACTTATGTAGATGTGTGGGCACTTGGTATCATGCTGTACTTCATGGTAACTGGCATAATGCCTTTCCGTGCTGACACTGTTGCCAAGCTGAAAAAGTGCATCCTTGAAGGTAGCTACACCATTCCGTCCTATGTGTCTGATAGCTGTCAATTTCTTATACGTAGTATTCTCAAAAACATTCCACAAGATCGTTTCACTATTGCTGAAATAAAACGATCTGATTGGCAAGAAGGTCAGGACTTTCCAGCCCCTTTGGAACCATTTAATATGAACCCCAGTACTGGTTCATTGTCTTTAGGTGATGAGGAAAAGGAAGCGCGGAAGATAATGAATGACCTTGGCATTGGTGAGGATCATTTCCGTCAAATGAACGGGAGGGATTCGAGGAACAGCATCACAGGGACATATCGTATTGTGTTGCATCGTGTGCAGAAGAAACATTCGGGTGTTGTTGAGGGCATGACCTCATCTACAAGGGACGTAAGCCTCAGTGATCGGAATCATGGTCGATTCCAACCTTCGTCCAAACAGCAGTCAAAATTCTGCATCATCTTGTGATATTTGTTTCTAGATACATTGTGATACCATGGTTTAAATGAAATAGCCAGGATGAGGTTTTGTGGCTGGACTGAAATGGCCAGAACTGAAGTTTTGTGTACCATATCATTTTGAATTTTTTGGTTGTGAAAGCATGCATATTATTTCTTACAAATTTGTTAAGATGAAGAAATATTCCTTTGTTTTTGTAGAAGCGATCATGTAAGGTAATTAGTTTGTCATATGTTTTGCTCTTTATCCATTTTTTCAGTCCACATTTACAGTTTATTTAAACCATGATATTGCAAGATCGAGAGAGACATATTTTTAGCCAGTGCAGAATAGTCAACTTTTGAACTATGTATATTTTGTGAAGTGCATGATCAGTGAAATGTCATGTAACAAATTCCAGGAATAAGGACTTTACAAAATTCACTTAAAAAAGAACAGAATTTTTGCTTCTTACATTCCACAGATGTTTCTGTTATAACACTTATGTCTGGTTTTTTTATATCTAAGTCATTACTGTGTGTTTGCAGTATGTTGTATGTCTTTAAGAACCAATTAACCTGTTTCATATTGCTACCATCATGATGATCCTGAGTTTCACCTCATGCATCTTTCAGATACAAATTATGTTTTAAGATCAAATAATAGTTGTTTACTTAGTTCAAAAATGTTTTGGAAACTTTCTGTTTTATAACCACATGTTATTGTATCATGTTTGGGTAAACAGATGGCTTTCAAATATTTTCTTTTATGGATTATGACCTATTTGCCAAACACTGTATATGAGTGTCAGCTCTGGTGTTACTTCAGTGGTAATACTACAAATGATATGTTGGAGCTGTTTGTGATAAGACTGTCACAATCCTGTTCTGATTTATGGAAAGGAAACTTTGTTTTCCAGGTTGTTAAATTCATGATTGGTCATGTACAGACTCCTAAATCATATTATCACATTACAGATAGTTTACAATTTTTACAATTTAGCAAGATTCAATTTTTATTCCACTTTCTACAGTGTATTGAATCAAACTGAAAAACTGTTTTGCACCAAACTGAATCTCGCACTCTTAACTGCTGTTAAGAAATAATAAGCAACTTTTAAGTCGCATTTTGAGAATGTGCATTTTTACCTGGAATAATGATTTGGAAATTGTTTATATTTTGGATATCTCTATGTGTATGTTTGCATACATATTGGGTAGTGGTATGTTTGAAAGAAGGATTTTCACTAAGACATTGTTTGAATCATTTATGGCATATTTTATATCTCAAATGAGAAACCTCTGAATACTATTTTAAAACACCACTGAAGCTTTTCTTCAGAAACATGTAACTTTAGATTATACTTATCTGTTAAAACTATGATTATGTTTGTTTTCTAATGCCTTATTGTAATTAAAGTTGCTGAAATATGTGTTAAGAATATGCCTTACATGTTATTTATGAATGGTGTCAAGAAAGTGCTGTTAGTCTTCATTGTAGCAGTGGATCTTCATGCTCACAGAGGGTGTTGCATAGAACTAGTCGAGTTAAATATCAGCTAACAAGATCAGATATTTGTCTTCGAGAACAACATTCACAGCTGTATGCAAGTTCTACTGTTTTTAATTGAATGTTTTCTTTAGACCATTTCTGTGTAACTTTACTTACATAAAACCTCTTGCCATTGTGTCTGTCTGTGATGTCTACCCTAAAGTATTATCAGAGAAGGAATGGAGGAGGACCTGAGCATTTATTTACATGTGATTGTATGCTATCAGAACCAGATGAAACTGTGTGTATGTGCCAAGTCCTGCTTTTGGGGGTTAGCGATTTCAATGAGTTTTTTTTAATCATCTTGACCTTTAGCTTCATTTTATATATAATTGTCTGAATTCTGATTTTTTTCATCTCAAACTGTTTATATCCAAAGCTGAAACTATAAGTTAACTGGAAATGAGTCTGTGAAACTGGACAAGATTTTTGCAAATAACACAACATTTTCCTACCACCAATTGTCAGTTTCACCTTGATTAATGAACACTGTTACTTTTAAGAGCCATTTCTTTGTGGCACATGCAAACAAACAACACAAATATGTAAGATGCTATGACTGTTTGTAAATCTTTTATAACTAGTTGAAACAATCTGAGCATTGAAATCATTTTGTGAAGTAAAATTCTGATTTTTTAACTTAGCCTATCTCACATTGAACATTTTTCCTTGAATGTCCCTGGATTCTGGGGCCTCTTAAAAATCGGAGTGGGTCAGCTTTACATCGGTTCATAACACCATTATTGCCTTTGGTAATGATACAGCAAGAAATCACAAAACATTGGATCACCCAGGTTCATGAAAGTATTGCTAAGGGGGTTTTCAGAAGCAAACCCTCAAAAGTGCGTCATAATAAAGGTTAGGATCTGTGAAGTATGCTATAGATCAGACTGCTAGTTCAACCTCCTTGTGCACAAGTCATCTTACGGTTGTCATTCCCAACGGACTTGACTAAACTGCCATCCACCATCCAACCGTGGGATATGTGGTGAATAAGCTGAATGTGAGATAGGATAAGTTTTAAAGTTTGTAAAGTTCACAGTAAATTGTATATTTATAATACCTATACTATCTCACATGATTGACTTCAATAGGGAGTCAGTCAAGGTAAAACACACTTGCTGTGACTGCCTACAACAACAGCTAGAGATGGTACTAGAGGCTGGAGAATGTTTCCACTCTAAGATCGCAGTTCAGGGGAAAGTGCTCCATGTTAGATAAGATATATTTTATGAATATACTATTTACTGTAAAATTTACGATTTTGTATTCCATTTGCAACTGATAGAGTAGAGGTGTCATTAATTGGAAATTTGAGTATTGCTATATCGACTACATATCAATTCATAATCGAATAGTTATTCTGAATAGATAAAACATTCTTACGTAGACCTGCAATTAAACGATTTAGTGCTAGATTTGTTTATTTTTCTGCTTTCTGAGTGTCTGTCTTAACCATGGTAATCATAAAAACATGTCAACATTTCTGAAGCAGAGAATTGTTAATTTGTTATCTACATTCAAACTGATATATCACTGTTGCTAGAAATATGATGATGTCACTATTACAAAAATTCTTGACACCTTTTACAACAAATAGAAATTTCACAACATTGAGTAGAGGACCATAAATGGTATTTTCTGGCAATGTTTTAGCAGCAGGATTGGTCATGAAAACAGTTGATCAATTTATGGTTACTCAGAAAACCAGGAATCTGAATCTGATACATCAGCTCTTAGCACTCATATAACACACTGTGTAGACAATGCTACTTAGTAGTGCTCACAGTGCTAGTGTAGTACGTCATTAGACCACAATCTATATTTTGTGGTGTCCAACCTACTAATAAATAAGCTTGGATAGGTCAAAATACGAAATTGATATAAACTCTGAAGCTCATTTTGTTCGCTTTTGGGTTGCAAAAGGTGTTTGGGTTGGCCAGTTAAATGCAAAGAATTACTTGTGATACTGTTCAAAGAGCAGGATGTTTAGTATTTTTTCATGCAACATGAATTTGTTTTTACTTCCAAGTGGCATTTTGGTGGGCTGTTTCAAGATACATTCCATTAAATCAATGATTATTTATAAAGGTAATAGTTATTTCGGGTTTGGGATTTCATTATATTTCAAAGCCATCAAAGATGGATCAATGAGGCAAAGGACATTAAATTTGGAATGTTTATGTCTACATTTTGTTTTGTCAGTTGAATCGGTATACCAAAACGTACAAAGAGTGTGGTCTTAGCATTAACTGAGGAAAGGGCTAACATCGGGTAACCAGCCTCTGTCAGTTTTCTGATATGCTATTTAGCCCATACTGATACACATCTATATTTGAAATGATTCATTTCCCAGAAGTTATTTTTAGATCTTGATAACAAATTTTACTTTTGAAATGAAGCAATGATATATTTGATACAGGTTGGAATATAATGTGAAGGTTCAATACCTGAATACACATATTAATAAACAATTGTTCAAGGCATTCAACAAAGGGACTTTTTCCTCTTAATCATATATATTTATAGATATATATTATATTTGTTCAAAATCAATGCACATCTTCAGTGAAGACATTTGACTATGCAATTCACTTGTCGACAGCAAGATGCTTATAGGTAATACAGGGAAAGGTGATGCATGGACTGTTTGTGTAGTGAGTGATACAACACCCCTAGTTCTCACCTATGTATACATTGGAATGATGTGAATATTGTTATATTATGCAGTTATATATCTCATTTTACAGTTTACATATCTGTTAAAAACAATGGAGTGGTCAAATATAACCAAAGTGACAACTGTGGATTTCAAATGAAGGAAGCATTGATATACTCATGGAAACAAATAAGGGAAAAATGAAAGTACAAGTGTTCCTTTATTTATTTCCAGATAAAGTGCCATATAAAGCATGACAAGAAACCCAGAAAAGAGTATAGGAACACTTGTACTTTTGTGTGTTCCTCTATTTGTTTCCATGAGTATATTTCATTCCGATTGAGCAGATTTCCTTTTGGAATCTTATTTATCTGTTTGCTTCTATTCTTATGAGATGAGGCTGTTATTGCTGTGCCGAGTTGTGTCTCAATGGTATCCAGAAACCTAGGATGATTGGTTTGAGTCTCAGATTGGCCCTGTTATGTGTCACGGTTTGTCAGCCCCATACCTGTGTTAATGGGTTTCAGCAAAGTGGTATATTCTGACCTAATGCTGCCACCATTATGTAACTGAAGTAATGGTCCAAGCAGTGGTTAGGTTTAGTTGTGTTGAAATGGGTATGCAGTAGTGAGGAAGGTAAACAGTGACAAACATTTGGACATACATTAGTTCACTTCTGGAGGAAAGAAATTACTGGACATTTATGATTAACTTGAATTCATTGCACCAATGAACCAGTTGCATGCATGAAGTATTGGGGGTGCTAATAAAACAGTACACTTGTGGAGGAAGGACTAGGGCATTCTTTACACTAATGAATCAGTTGCATCCAATCTATGTTTTGGGGAACTAGAAGCAACTACTAGTTATCCTTTTAGAACAAAAATACATATGAATGACAGATAACAGGAACTGATCTTCTCCGAGTGAAATATCATGTTTAATGTTTTTTAATACCGCGTAAATTAGTGATCTCATACTTCCTCATTAGTATTGTCTTTGAACATGACTGAAATATGGACTTGGGCCAGTTGCAATCAACAGAATCCCTATGTCATTATCTTTCCTAATTGTCTGCCAGCCAGGGCTACTTAAACATGTGGCTAACATTGATTGTGTACTTATCTATTGATGACCAAGCCTGCCATTATACCAGGCTTTGTAGGTCTGCAGTTTACAGAAACATTTTCGCAGAGTAATAGTCTCATCTCACTGTGGAAATTTACTGTTGTGGTCTATATATGGGTTTGGTTGTACAGTCTGGATGTATTTGACCACCCCTGCACAGAAGCACACAGGACTGAGTGTGTGTGTCTGTGTGTTTGATCAAGGTGCACTGTGTAGCTAAGTCATTCTCTGAGTATTCATACAATGTATGGCCACTTGTTTGTTAGCTTGTACAATGCCACAGGCTAAATTACACAAGTAAAAAGTTTGATTTTATACAAATTTGAGTTTCGTCTTGTCATTTCACCTTTCTTTCAGATTGTTCATTCACTCGAAGTGTAAGTAGTGTACTAAGATAGCTTAAAATGTATGTGCTTAAAGGTTAAAGTGCATCATAGTGATAAGTGGCAAACTGTTAATATTGAAGCTAGCAATGTCATGACTTGTCAGTCTTACCAGTATTGGTATTCATGCATTAATAGTTGGATACAAAAAATTACGAAGTGGATTCGTTTGTATATCTGTCATGTGATCTGAATGGGGCTAATTCACTCACTTGTGGCTATAGAAAATATGAGCCCAATATGGATATATATTTTTTTTACATCCTCGAATCCTCTAAGGTTCTGATTAGGCCTACAGCATGTCCATTATTAGAAACATTGTTTTCTTGCTTGGAGATAATATCCTTGTTAAGCAGGTGAGCTTCAAAGTTTTATTGCTATGTTGTAAACTTGGAGTAGACATGGTCGCAGTTCACTGTTTCTGATGTGAGAAAGGACATTTTAAGCCTATTTGTGCATTAAACCTTTACATTATGTATTATGCAATTAATCATGCATGGCCAGGCAGCATTTGAGTGCATGGTTAATGTGTCGCCATGTGAACAATTCAATGGTCGAGGCTGTACAAGTTGATTAATGTTATTCTGAATACATCTAGCAGTTCTGGTTTGTTCTTTATTTAGATTTAGACTTAGATATTGGAATTTTTTAAAAACAATTTCATTTATCACTTTTATCCCAGACAGCTATGGTTGGTAGTACAGTCCAGTCCTGGCAGTAATGGTTACCGGTAACCTAGAGTCACAGCATTGATCTGTCATCTTGGTCAGGCCACCCCGAGCCATACATGCAATCTGATTCTTCTGTATACATTGTATGATGAAGGTAAAGTGAACCACAGCATCTTCTCATGGTTCCTGCAGGGTTCTGAAAGGCGGACAGGCAAATTGGCAGGAATTTGTCAAGGGGTTGACAACACTTTCTCCTGTCTGGTATTTTGATATGTATATAGTCTTACTGTACCTTCATAACATTAAAACAATGCCTCAGTATCACATAAATCACATAATATAATGTGAGTGAGTGAGTTCAGTTTTATGAAACACTCAGCAATATTCCAGCTATATGGTGGTGGTCTGTAAATAATCAAGTCTGGACCAGATAATCCAATGATCAACAGCATGAACATCAATCTACACCATTGGAATATGATGACGTGTCAACAAAGTCATCGAGCCTGACCACCTGATCCCGTTAGTCACCTCTTACGACAAGTATGGGTTACTGAAGATCAATTCTAATCCAGATCTTCACAGGTACATTCTGTATAATGTATAGTATAGATGTACAGTGATATTGAGCAACAGTGGTGAGAGCATGGTTTCTGGGTTGCATCTAAGGTAGATGAATGAGACACTGTAAAGTGCAAGATAACTCTAAACAACCAATCATTCAAAACTCACCTTTGCTAAGTCAGATTTCATCATTTGTAAGTAAAATACAAATCAAACTATTAAAAACATTATTGTAGATTTGGGCATCATAAACTTATTCAGATATTCACCCTAGTTTTGTGCTAAGACCACTATGTGAAACTGAATTCCCTGAAGTGGTATTGGCTGGGTCAAGTGCAATACATTTTGTACAAGGCACTAATTGAAAAATTCTAGAACTAGAAATGGGAACCAAACTGTCCCCCAAATATCACATGTATATCTAAAACCTTTGGCTTGACAATAGTAGTATCCCCTCCAGTAATCCTATGGCTGTAACTAGGGTCCACAGGGTGCACTCTTACACAGCTTCAAAACATAAAGCCAAAGGTCACTATACTGGTGACTTGTCACACCAAGGGAGTAGGCACTATGATGCAGGGCCTATTGTGTCACAGTGCCTATTGTCAGTCTTGGTTTCATCTTGTAATTAGTAACTTGGTGAAACTTAGAAAAGTCTTTATAATGTGGGTAGTCCATTACTTCCAGACTGTTACATGTCAACATTGCGTTTTTTACATGAAATTTGTAAGGACTGCCAATTGTCCAGTATTTTCCAACATTACAAATGATATATTCTGGAACAAACTAATGTCTTTTGGCACATCAAGCACTTAAACACCTGGCTAGCTATTGGGTATTGGGGTTCAAAGGTGTTGGGGTGTGTCATTACTTTTTGGAATTTGATTTTGAATAAGGTGGTGCTTAATGCTCATGTTCATACATGTATATCTAAGAAATACAAAGAAAAGAAAATACATACTTCTTGGGCCCTACCATTTCAAAACGTGTGGTATATTTCTGTTCTGTTATATTTTATCCGTTATATCTATCTTAGTTATGTAAGGGTCACCAGACACCAGGGGTCTGAAACCGCCAGGAACCAGGGTAATAAATACACCAAACATTGATTTACATACGTAACTGGAAAGGGTTCGTGACGTAATGTCTGTTTTGTGCCATTTTCAGCAAATGTCACCAGCACACAAAGGAGAGGTCATTTCTGAAAAAGACGCAAACTGCAATATTAATTATTAGAATATGTCAATAACGATAGGCTCACAAATCGGATAACTGATGTGAAACTGGTTGGAAAATGTATAATGCCATGAGAGATGGAAAGTATTGATTTTTTGAATTTTTCGAAATTATCCTTATTTGCCTATACAGCTATATAGGCCGGCTAGTTTATTGCGCTGACTGGAGGCACTATTACTAACAGAGGAGACTATCACATATCTATTCAAATACACTTCACTGTGGCGCCGAAATGCATTACGTGTTGTAGGGTTGAAAGCTTGTAGAGTTAAGTGGTGAGTATATTTGACGGTGACGTCTCGTTATAGTTCGATCACCCCTTTAATGTGAAAGTCACACTGCAGTATAATGAAGGTGACGCCCAGCCGAAATCAAACATCAGTTACATAACCCCGCTTAGCTTCGCCAGTGTAATACCTCCTTTATGAACAGAATATTGAAATGTCCGGTTCCCGCTCCGGTGAAAGGAACTGGAGAAGTTGAAGGACGTCACTATTTACACTGAATCATGACAACCACTGTCTTCCAACACGACCAAGCCATGTGCACCATCAGTGTGCGTGGGTAGCTGTTATGTTTCAGTGGACTTACACAAATACTATTTACGTAACTCGCAGAAAAACATCCATGGAGGAAAGTTGGTACATCCGGCAAATGGTCGGCATGGTATTTAACATGTTTAATAGTCTTATCGAATTTCTTGGGCATTGTTTCTATAGCAACAAACAACAGTGCATGTTGTCCAACGACAATCTCAACCAGTGAAGACATCCAGCTTTATTTCACTGAACATTGACATACGTAACTGGGAAGGAGTCATGACGTGTTAGCAGTTTTGATCTATCATAACACTGCACCAAAACTGATGTTTATGAATTAACCGTGATATCAATGTGCTCCCACATTGTAATGTTGTCAACCCTACTTTTGTAGTAGAGACGCCAACACTGCCGCTGTCGCTTGTGTCAGGTGCACTACTACCGTCATTGCATTGTTTTGTTGTCTAGTGCACGTTTAGAGGGCATCGAGTCGGGCTCTATTAATTATTATATCGATTTGTTTATCAACGCCTCCAGCAGACTATACCACCATGATTCAATGTCGTGGTTAAGGCTGTATAGTAATATATGCTGATTTGCTACATACTAATTTCTGTGCCGACATTACGATCAGATCTCAGCGAGGTGGGGAATGAAACGCCCTAGATAGCAACGTATCATATATAATTTAGAAAGTTCTGCTGTCGGCCATTCCTGATTATGACAACGACGACATGAATAGTGGCCAGTCAGGCACAAACACCATCATTAGTTTACGCTCCACTTGGGGGCGTTCGCCACTACAACATACGCTCGTCCAGAGTTAATATGCTGTCTCATTTCCCATTGTCTATTTTCATCTGTCTAATCAAAAAAGACTTCTCTTGATCAAGGTCTTTTATTTGGTAAAGAAGAATAGCGACACTTCGTTGTTTGTTTCAACTCCCCTCTGCATTAATCCAGCTACTTGACGACGTTTAGTCAATACAGAAAACTGCAGATGCTTGATGGGCATTTAGAACGTTTAGAACGAACACGCGTATGACGAACTGACGGATAGAACGAACTGTTTATACTTAGGAAACATGCGTATAACGAACTACGGTTATGACGAAGTAAATTAGTGGTCGCTGTGAATTCGTTATAACGGTGGCTTACTGTAATCGAGTATGGACCACACAATCCAGTGACTGACATCAAAATCATCGATCAGTTCAGATGGGATATGAAGACATGCATCCACCAAGTCACCGAGCAGGACTACCCGATCACTTACGTCTCCTCTCACAACAAGCTCGGTTACTGTGGGGACCAACACTCCTTCTGAAGGTGCAAGGCGAGGAAATGAAAACCAGTTACACCAGGTCACCTTTTCAGTATTGTTAGGGTTTGTTTGTTTGTATACGTGTTGAACACCACAATCAGCAACATTCCAGCTGTATGGCGGTGGTCTCTAAGAAATCGAGTCTAGACCAGACAATCTAGAGATCAACAGCATGATCATCGATTTACGCATGCTTCAACCAAGTCAGCGAGTCTGACTGCCAGATCCCGTTAGTCGCCTCTTACGACAAGCATGGGTTGCTGAAGACCAATTCTAACCCGGATCTCCACGGGTCAAGTATTCTTATGGCATAGATATATTCAATCTATATTTTTTAAGTTGTCGCCTCAACGTACAATTTTGTACTTTTAGATATAAATATGAAATTTGAATTCAGAAACGCCGATTCATTCCCGTGTCATCATGTTACTAATAAAACCATGGTATCGACAAATAATTTTGTGATATTAAAAGTGTTTTCAAAGTCTTTATTCACCACATAAATAAAATTCACTTGTAACTTTTGAGAAATCCTTAGACCTGAGAAAGGGCGACTTTAAACGTATAACATATAGGTAATCTCCACCAGGTGTCCATTCCTATT